CTCTCTCTCTCTCTCTCTCTCTCTCTCTCTCTCTCTTGTTCTGTCTCTCTCTACTTTATGCCTTTTCGTAAAACTGGCCTGTCAAAGATCACCATGCAACCAGGGCAACAGTAACGTAGCATCTATGGTGGCACCGTAATGCTGTGGTCAGAAATGGCGAGCCTCCTTCAGTTCAGCAACTACTCCAACTGAAACTGACCTTCGGCACATCATCTGCTTGGATTGAGGCAAAAAGAAGTTGCGTGCGGTCACATGGTTCCGCCTTCATCGGGGCAGCCACCCCTCCTTTGTATTCATTGATGCCTGCACCAGATTTTCAATTCCGTTCTTTCTTACAGTACATCAAAGACGGCCTACCTGTCGTCCCCGAATAAAAACATATACCTGTATCTGCACGTAGACTGCTTGTTGACCAATACATGCACACAAACAAAATAGTTTGTTGCGTCTGTATGTATGTGTGTGCATCTGTATGTGTGTCAGAAAGGAAGAGAGAAAGAAAGAAAGAAAGAGAGAAAGACAAAGAGAAAGACAGAGAGAAAGAGAGAAAGTCATCTCTGTCCATCCATCTCATCATTCCCCCCTCCCTCAAACCCGCTCTGGTGTTCTGAAAGGAATGCATGTAGGCGCTCCCGAGCTCGGAGTAGCAATGATGAGCAGACGCGGATGCAAGCATCATCACAGAGGAACAATCAGACAATGGGGCTGACCTCATTGCAACATGACACAGCGAAAGAAAGACGGGAAGAAAGAAAGACAGAGAGAAACACAGAGAGAGAGAAAGAAAGAGAGAAAGAAAGAAAGAGACAAAGACAGAAAGACAGAGAGAGAGAGACAAAGAAAGAGAGAAAGAAAGAAAGAGACAAAGACAGAAAGACAGAGAGAGAGAGAGAGAGAGAGAGAGAGAGAGAGAGAGAGAGAGAGAGAGAGAGAGAGAGAGAGAAAGAGAGAAAGAGAGAGAGAGAAAGAGAGAAACAAAGACCTGCTGGTCACATAAGGGGGTGAAGATGAACCCTCTACTTTATCGCATCCGCTACTGAAACTCACACGGCTGCTTATTCGTTTTCTGCCCCAAATATATACGTATGATGTCATCTTTTCGCTCTGAAGTCTATGTGAAAAGGTTGGAACCGTCGCCTCATATGCTCTCATCGTCGCCACCCACCCCAAAAATTGTTTCATGTGTTCGCAGCATGCCCACATGCAAATATTAACATCTTATGGCCCAGATGATGCATGCAACTAACCGCTTTCCACCTCAGGGTGGGAGCGATCGAGCAAGCGGACTCTCTCTCTCCCTCTCTCCCTCTCTCTCTCTCTCCATACAAGTCCACACAAAGGAGAGAGAGAAAGACAAAGAAAGCAAGAGAGACAGAGAGACAGACTAAAAAAGAAAGAGACACAGAAAGAGAGACAGACAGAAAGAAAAAGACGGAGAGCTGCTCCTCACATTAGAGCTCTCTCCATACAAGTCCACACGAAGGAGAGAGAGAGAGAGAGAGAGAGACAAAGAAAGCAAGAGAGACAGAGAGACAGACAGAAAGAGAGAAAGAGAGAAAGAGAGAAAGAGAGAAACACAAAAAGACAAAGACGGAGACCTGTTGCTCACATCAGCAACTCAAGACGCACACACAAAAATCAAATCAATCAATCAATCAGGATGACGTCCATCAATCATCCTGGCCAATCAATTATTTGAAAACATTACATGCATCTATGTGGATGCCCCCATGTTCTCCCGCCTTGCAAGCATTCCATAATTCCCCTGTCTGCCCCTTTTGAATCTCATGTTTTCCCCGACATGCTCCCTCTTTCACCTCGACAACTGCGACGTGGAACTCCTTGCAACATGATTAGAATATGAAAGAGAGCAGGAAAGACGGAAAGAGAGAGAAAAAGAGGCTTACAACGTTTGATTCTGGCACCAAATTGTGTGACCTTTTGTCGGTCGATTCCAGTACAAAAATTAGGGTAGGTTTTAAGCAAAACACACGAACGGAGGCCGGAGCTTGAAGTTTCATATCATGACTAAATCCTAATTTCAAGATAAGTATGGAGCTCTATGGATTAGTACTAGCTTGAAAGAAAGACAGCAAGAGAGACAGAGAGAGAGAAAGAAAGACAGACAAAAAGACTGGCCCATGGCCAGCATTGATGCTGGAGGCAGTCCAGCGTAGCCAATGCCTGCAGCGCTTCCCCAACAGCTTTCAGAGAGGGGCTTGCATTGCTCAGGTCGTTTTACTCCATCTACTATCCTGCAGAAATTTTTCTTTCTAACCATACAGTTACTAAGACCCCTAATTCATTGAATACTTACTTGAGCAAACTTTCATCTATACAATGACAAGATTCAGAATTTCTTTTTCAGCCGCTTTCTTTCTTTCTTTCTTTCTTTCTTGGGCACCTGTTAAAATTGGAACCGCTGACATGGACAACTCTCAACTCTCTCTCTCTCTCTCTCTCTCTCTCTCTCTCTCTCTCTCTCTCTCTCTCTCTCTCTCTCTCTCTCTCT